TACTCTGACACTTTCCAGAAACCTAAACATAGCTGCAGACCAAACGCAGCCTCCCCCAGCAGGACAATGACACGCTGCAAAAAACTGCTCAGGAGCAGTTTGAGGAACATGATTTGTCAGATTCGAGTTTGACTGCACATCTGGGGCATGTGTCTGAACAAGCCCAGAGTGCTGAGGACCTGCAACCTGCACGACCCAAAGCATCTGCTCCCAGACACTAGATGACACCCTCATGGAGGCCCCCTTCTTTTTGCTCTTGAAGATGCTTCCCCTCAGTTCCGACTAGTTAGAACTATCAGGAAGCCTCTTGGATGACAGGTGGAACATCTCCAACAATCAAAGCTGCTGAAGCTGATCCGGATGACTGAGTATCTGCACAGACATGCATGAACTGGAGCACATTAATTACATCTGGAAAACTTGTGCATGTTGTTTTTGCAACCACTAACACAGTCATGGGTGCATTTAGAAGATTTGTGTTTGTCATTTAACACAAAAAGAAAAAAAAAACTGCTGCATTTAGACGCCGCCTTGTCTGGATGAGGGGAAAACAAACCCAACTAAACTTTCATTCATTAGCCGGACCAGCTTTATCCTGTTGCAGAGGCTTGCGGGTGACACCCTGGACAGGTCATCAGCCCGTCACAGGTTTAACGCAGAGAGACAGCCAACCGTGTACACTCACACTCACACCTACAGCCAATTTAGAATCATCAATTAACCTTCCGTGCGTGTCTTCGGACTGTGGGAGGAAGCAACTGCAGAAAATCGACACAGGCACAGAAAAAACAACTAAACATGAAAAATCTTTTGTTGCTGCTGTTTTATTTACTCATTTTCCTCATATTATGTAAAAGTTTGAGTCTATCTGTGCATTTAAGTTAAACTGGTGCTGCTTTAAGAGATTTCTGGGTAATGAAGTCCTACAAAAATTTGACATTAAACATGTATTTCATTCCTACATGGAGCTGCTGAATGCAAGAAGCAACGTAAAATGTGTAATTTTTGAACCAGCTAGAAAAAGGTGAGCGTGGAAGCAGAGTGACGTTGGGCGTCATCCTTAAACAAATAAAGCTTTAAAGAACAGGAAAGACTGTTTTTGTAACTTCTGCCAGATTAAACACTCTCTCACTTCCCCAGCTCTCAGCCTCAGCGTTTAATATTGTTGCATGGAAACATGCATGTTCCTCTGGTGACTGAATATGGCTGCAGTCAGCAGTGGAACATGTGGGTTTCCAAGCACCGGCAACAATAAAGTTGCGCGCCGACTGATGAGTCAGCAGCTGGGGGAGCATAAGCAGCATCATATACTCTCACACACACAGCCAAAGCAGGTATGAAATTATGTTGAGTCTATGAAGTGAGAGCCCAGAGATTATGGACATTCAGACATGATCTTCTTTCTCGGTTTTCGTCTCTCTATTTGCTTTCCGTCCTCGCTCTCTTGCTCTCTCCCGTTCTCACCTTCTTGTTTACTGTGGATGAGAGGAGTGAGATGAAACAAGAGGCAAAAGAGGCTGTCACGCCTTCATTGTTCCGTTTCGCACATTTCGGATGAATTACAGTGGCAGTGGAAATAATTGCTTGTCCCAATTATGAATCCATCTGCCGCGGTGGCTGTCTGATTTGATGGGGAGGGAAATTCCCGAGAGCAAAGCCCAAACAATGCGAGGGGAATAAGGCGCGAGAGCGTGTCAGCGGCCATTAATATCCATAAAGGCATTTTCACAACACACCTAATGACACGAAATGACAGACAATAACCGTCAGGTAATTAGTTTGTGTGATGCGCGTGTGAGTGGAGGTGAAGTGGCGTGTGTGTGTGTGTGTGTGTGTGTGTGTGTGCAGGGGGATTAGAGTAGGGAGGTGAAATATTTCTATGCAAATGTATGTAGACAGTTTATAGTCCTTCTGTCTATTATGTAAAGTAATACGAGTATACAAAAGATGACATTTGGGGATCATATGTTAATGGAGTGGACAGAATATTAGGAACATTTCTTAGTATAATAGAGTAAAGCTGACCTCAATAATATAATACAATTATCTTTCTGACAATGTTAACAAAAAGTAAGAAAGTGTTCTATGTATAGCAGAGGACTATTACAGTTGTACTGGACTGCTGGTACCTAAGTATTAAAAATGCTGAAAAGTGATATTCTATTATGGTACATCCATCCATTATCTATACACCGCTTAATCCTCACTAGAGGGGCTGGAGGCTGGAGCCTATCCCCGCTGACTTAGAATGAAGGCAGGGGACACTCACATTCACACCTACGGACAATTTAGAATCACCAATTAACCTCAACATGTTTTTGGACTGTGTGAGAGGAAGCCGGAGAACCCGGAGAGAACCCACGCTGCATGGGGAGAATGCAGTAATATCCCGGGTGTCCTCTCCGGGACGCAAACTGGCGCCCTTGCTGCTGCGAGGCAACAATGCTAACCACTGCTCCACCTTGCAGCCCCTATTATGCTACAGCAATTCTATATTTTATGCATAGGTGTAGATTTCAAGGAGAATGCACGGAACATGTCCCTCTTAATAATTACAACATGTGCATTTGTCCAACCCAATAAAAAATGTGAAAAAAGCAAGTGTTTACTCATTGTGCCTGAATTTTGCGGGTTTTTTTCATATATGAAGGCATTTTCACCTCAAATTGATGCAGAAAATTGACATATTTGTGCATTAAAATTGCTTCAAAATTGAGTATTTGATGCCCAAAATGTCCTGGGGGAGAACCTAGAGCCCTGCTTAATGTGTCCCCCCATGTTTAAACAAAATCCATCCATCCATTATCTAAACATCACTTAATCCTCACTATAGGGTCGCGGGGGGCTGGAGTCTATCCCAGCTGACTTAGGGTGAAGGCAGGGGACACCCTGGACAGGTCACCAGTCTATCACAGGGCTACACTTAGAGACAGACAACCAAGCACACTCACATTCACACCTACAGACAATTTAGAATCACCAATTAACCTCAACATGTTTTTGGACTGTGTGGGAGGAAGCTGGAGAACCCGGAGAGAACCCACGCTGCACGGGGAGAACATGCAAACTCCACGCAGAAAGATCCTGGTGCCCTCACCGGGACGCAAACCGGCGACCTTCTGGCTGCGAGGCAACAGTACTAACCACTGATCCACCTTGCAGCCCTCAAAGAAAATCTACACACATTATTCTATGTATTGTTCATTAGTTTAGCTTTATCATGGGTTCGGTGGTTGAAATATACATCTATAAAATATCAAACTACGATCGCTATGGAGAGTGGAGCAAACTACAATAATTGTCTCTAAAATGCCTTAAAGAACCATAAAATAACACCATAAGAACAAGAATGCTGTCTCACTAAATGACTTCAGCCACATGGCCTTGACTTTAAAAAAAAATATATTAATAAATAAATATTTTATAGAGTTTGTTTTTAGAGTTGAAGTCCTGGAGTTTGAAGTGCTGAATTTGCTTTTGTCTTGAGGGAATAAACAATTGGATGCAAGAAAACTGCATCAGCTAAATAAAAACAAGAAAGACGGCTGGCGGTCAGGGGACTAAAAACTAACATCTGGGTCACGAATCTTGATGTAATCATTGACAAGGTTCTAAATTTCAGCAGCCTCATCAAAACTAAATCCTGGCTCTGGCGTATTAAAAATCAAACCAGGAAGCTTTGTGTCCAAGCAAGATTTTGAAAGACTGGACGATTGTGAAGCAACGGTTTACTTTGCTGCTGCTCGAATACTGACAGACACCAAGAAGCGAGGACACACGACTCCAGTTTGATATAGAATTACATTAAAGGCTCTATTCATTGTCTCCAAGTCTCTAACTGGTCTGGGCCCCAAATAAATCAGAGACATGTTTGCTGAGTCGGGTAGGTCTCCAAGATCTGCATGCACTGGTCAGTTAGTGGTGGCCGGAGTTCAGACCAGACATGATGAAATGGCTTTTAGCCATCATGCTGCAACCAGCTTCCATTTACCCCAAGTGTGGCCGTTTTTAACAGTAAGCAAAAAACAGATGAACTGCTTTTAATTATGCACATGCTTTTATTTTCTTATCTCCTGTCTGTTCCCAGTGATTGAGTTAATTAATTTTCTGTTTTTGATTCATTTGATTGATTCAATTTTTATTCTGCTGTATTTCATTTTATCTTATTTTATCTCTACATGTTAATTTTTTTGTTATTTGTAGCTTGGCCAATTTAAATAAAATAATAATTTCAGTGTAATCCACATATAAATAGATAAAATATGGGCAGATAGTGATATTTAGAAAGATATTTACTTGATTGATTTAGTTTTAATTGTGATGTATTTTTTTCAATTTTGTTTTTTGGCATCTAAATGGCGATATACATATATATTATTTTAATTAATTAATTAATTAATTAATTAATTATTACTATTTTTTTTTGTTTACATTTTTAGCTTTTTTTCTTTTACAAGTAAACATGCTTGATACAAACATATAAATATTTAAAATAAGTTTATTGCACAACACACCTAAAATATATAAAATATGAGCAGACACTGGCATTATTTTCTGTATTTTTTTAAATTTTATCTTTTAATGTGAGTATTTATATTGTTTTTTTTTAACCTTTGCTATTTTTTTTAAACTTCTCACAAGGTGCTATATAAACAAACCTGCTTGATATACGTATACACAATTAGTAAAAATAATTTTAGTGTAATAAACATATGAAATAGATAAAACATGAGTAGATATACTGACCTGTAGATGCAGATGAAGCCCTGCACAGACAGCACTGGTGGATTGTGGGAATGTAGTTTCCTGGAGTGCCAGAGTCGCTGTGATTTCTTCCGGGTTTGTGCCTCAGTTTGTTTTGTTTGGGTGTAACAGCACAAAGCTCAACATGACATACACTCTGCGATCATAATCTTTTTTTTTTCTCCCTCTAACTTGGCTGAAGATGTCCTCGGAGGTTTTTCGTAGCTGACTCAGCTCGGTACCGACGGACGGCTCAACTTCTGCGTGATTTCATCCCGACTTGAGACACCTGTTGCTCCAGTTTCGACTCACAGGTGCCACTTTCTCTCGGCGAGCAGGTCGAGAGGGAGGGAGAGTCCAAACTCGGATATATTTATTTTTTTTCTCCAAAACATTTAGCCAAAAATAATTGAACTAGTGTGATGAAAGTGACGGTGACTTTCGGGGACACCGCCGTGGTGGTTCCCTGCAAAGCTGGATGGACGGTCCGGGATCTGGTGGAACAAGCCACGCGGAGGTACCACCGGATACAGCAGCAGGTAAAAACTTCTGCTATACTTCATTTACTTTCTTTTTTCACAACATAATTACCTCATTTTGTTTTGTTAACACGTTGTTTCACGCAGTCCCGCTTCAATTTATTTATTTTTTGAAGCGGCAGCTCCCACAACCTGGCGGAGGTGTTGGTCACGTGATGCATCCAATTTATTATGACGTTGTTAATATCAAAGCTAACGTTAGCTGCTAGCTTAAAGAAGATTTAAAAAAAACACACACACACAAATATAAAAAGTAATTCAATTTGTTACCAGAATTGAGTAAAGTTTAGTTAATTATGCTTATAAAAAAAAAAAAAAAAATAAAAAGGCAGGTGCACATTTAATAAGTGTGAAACCCGTTTAAGTTCCTCTTTCTGCTAAAAAAAAAAAAACATGGAGGCATAGCATCCATGTCGTTCACAGAATTGTCTATAAAAGTACTGAAAACATTCTCCATTGTAGGATTAATTATTTTAAAATGTATTTAGACTGTGAGAAACGAGCTGTTTGTAATTTGTTGTACATGTGTACAAATAATTCTAACATTTCAGGATGTAGCATTGTGTACAGCGCTGGGTAATACATTTAAAAGCTTTATTATGATTAAATGTGAGTTTTCAGTCATTATAGGTGATTATTGATCATTTTAAATTAAAAACCAACCAAAAATGTTTGTTTTGAGTTGAACTGCTTTGCTTTGAATGTAACCACTTTGGGCCGTTCATCCTATTTCTAAGTAAGGTGCACAGGAAGTAGCTTTATGTTGACACAACAATAAAGGTAACAAATACACATGTTTACTAACAAGATAGGATGAACTTGAATGACCCCTCACTGGGGACATTTACATGTTAAGGCAGCTGGATGCATGGAAGGAGCAAAGCAAGAAATGTAAAAGTACAATAGGGCTAAAAATAAGGAAAATTATGTTGACCTTTCACATTTTCAGTCAAAAGATAAACAGGAATGTATCAGAATGACCTCATCTTGGTAAACTTTAAATAAAGAAAGCAAGTAAAACAGAGGGCAAGTGGGGCAATGCTGCCTCACCTTGTTGAGGTTAAGGTCCAGAGAGTCTGCTGAGGACCACGTATCACCCTGTGCTGGCCTCTCTGTGCACCTCGACCTCAAGTCTGTCAGCCCTCGGAGCAGGGTTTGTGGGGTACACATGATTGGGTGCGTGTTTGACCAGGATTAGCGTTTGACAAGGGCAGCTGAAGGTCCTTGGAGGTTGTCAGGTGCTGATGGAAGCGACAAGAGGCTCAGGAGGATGTGGACTTGTGAGAGACTGTTCTTGAGCCAGGGAGGGGCAGCTTGGGGTTTGTTCATGCAACCAAACTTTGCATTTTCCTGATGTGGTTTCATGACAGTTTGCATCGAATGCATTAAGTGACTCTGAAACGTTCTATCGAAGAACTTTCTCATCGCTGTTGATGAAGTGTTGCTGTCATTTTATCAGCCAGGCTCATATGTGGAGACGGTTACAACCACATCTTGGGTCAGTGTCCTGCAGAACCACTTCAAGTTTGGTCGTCATTGGGTTGAGGGAAACCTCTGCGCCACACATGTCCAAAAGGGTTTTAAAGACCACACATCTACCAGCGTGGACAGATCCAAAACAGTTTGACCAATTTACTGCTAATAAGCTGAAGTACTCAGACTGCTTTAAACTGTAACATAGTGGTTTAATAATTAAAGAATCCTCTAAAAGACATGAAAAATTCTCATAATAATTTAATATCTACAATAAATTATGATGCACTTAAACTAAAATTGCAAAATTGACACGAGATTGCTGAGCGTATTTTTTGAGGCACTATTATTTTGTGTATAAGCTTCATACAAGGTCAACAGATAATCCAGATTCAGTTTTCACAAGAGAATTGCTGGATGATAACACAGCCATCTTGGTGTTTAACAAAAAGGGATACAGCAAGAGAGCCATTGCCAACCATCATCAACAAAACAGCCGTCCATTACAACCCTAAAGAATAAACCACAGTGTGGCTGCACGAAGAACTGCAAAGGAAGAGGTGGTCGCAGTGGTCTAATAATTATTATCCAAGGCTGTATATGTTGACCTGATTGCTAACAGGCTGATGGCTAAAGAACCACTGGTGCAAAGTGTTTCCTGTGAACGTCTCACTGTCACTTTCGCTGTATGTTCACGAACACACAAAGATACAAGCCCCCAGCTTTCTGCTCCCTGATATTGCAATCACTTGAACATTAATCATTCTGCCGAACTGACCTTTTTATTAATCGGCAGCTTATGCGCATGCTGTCCTGGCGTGATAGTGCGCTAGCTTGTGTGTGTTTCGCCTCTGTGAGGATGTGAGCGGTGCTGGCTGCAGCCGCGGCTGTCTACCTGTACAATAGCTTCCTGTTTAAGCCCTGGTATCTCAGCGGGCAGGTGGAAGTTTACTGTTTGATGTCCTCAATGTGGCCACAGTCGGGGAGGTGCGTGGTGGACAGGAGGCTTTGTCCTGTGAGTGATTGGGGATTAGGATTGGTGACAGGCCCCGGTCTTATCGGTTGGCTGGTCCCCACACACCCTCCCTCTGTAGGCGAGGCAAGAGGCTGCCTCATGGGGATGCGGGAAGCCATGGAAGCAGGGATGGAAGTACCGATTGGTTGGCTCGATGGATTGCTTCCCCTCAGTGATGCACACAAACATCTAGATGGCAACACACACACTCAGGGGAGCTCATCTCACTCAGTGTCCCCTGAGCTGGCTCTGCTTCACTGACAGCCACAACCCACTCTGCCCAGCGGTCCCTGTGGGTTCCCAGTGCTGCGGTTCACAGGCTAAATGCAACTGCGTGATTAAAAATGCACCCCGGCCTTGATTGCTTTTCACAAAGCATGTTAATTAGAAGCCGTCGGTAGACACTGACTCAGCAGTCTGTGGCTTTTCTCTTAATAAAGGCACATCATCGCGAGGACGGTCCAGTTCTGTTGCTGCCAGAAAGGGGCCGAATTTATCTGACCAGATGAGCCGGCTGCTCCTGCCAGCAGAATCCACTTAGCGCCCACATTAACCGTACATTTCTCCGCTCGCCGGCCTCACCGCTGACAGCAGGGACAGTGTCAAAAACCTGGGTTTAATCGCCGAGGGTGTGTATGTGTGTGTGTGTGTGTTTATGGCCATGCGCGGGGCGAACTGGATTCTGCACAGTCTCGCTGTGAAATTCAGCAATGGCATGTAGACCTTCCTAATTAGCAGTTTATTTTAATGCGACCTCAGCTGCGTCTGTGTGCATGTTTAGCTGCTTTCATCTCCGCTGTCGAGAAAACAGTTGTGTTAACCGGCAAAGGCTTTAACGAACTGCACATAGAGGAGAAAGAAGCGACCGCTCATTATACAGTGTGATTTGTAAAGTGTGAGCGTACACACTGTCAGGATGGTGATAAATACATATAAAAGATAATGGTTTCCACACATTATTCAATCACTGCTGTTATGGCATTAGTTGAAAAACAGAGGATTGTAGGAGTTGTGTAAAGATTTTTCAGCTAAGGTGTTAGGATTTTTAGTTTAGAGAAATCTCTCTTACTTCCATCTGTCATCGAAATAACTCCTCAAAAAACAATTTTGTGTTCAAGGGTTTCACTCAATTTTCATGCAATGTTTTAAAAATAGTGACTTTACTCATCACAATTTGTCAGAAAGTCTGTAGAAATTCTCACATTTGAGACATCAACAACCAGCCTGACAGCTCATTTAAATGAGCAATCAAATGTCTGTGTTGTTCCTGTAAACTGTTGATGTGAAAAGCTCAGAGCTGCACGAGTGAGGAGTCTTAATGCCAGCTGACTGACCTCTGTTTTTCTTTATTACTGCGTTATAGCCTGAGGGACCAGCATGTAGACTGCTAGCGTTGTGAATTCTCAGGGGAAACAGCCAGGTACTGTAGCTGTCTCATGGTCTGTCTGTGCAGGTTCAGTTCAGATTACAGCCCCGATACCGACTCGGCGCTGACAGCTCACTAAACAAACTGAAATGCTTTGCCCTTCTTCTCATGTATGTAGAGGAGGGAGAGGGAAGTCATCCATCGTGGCTCGGTGTGCGTGTGTCAGAGCTCAGCTATGCAAAATGCATTTTTTTAAGTTTGCTGTTCAAACCTGCTTTTTCTGGTCTATCTTCTCATGACTTTGGATTCTAGACCACACCGACTGTGTTCAGGGAGATAGTCGGCATTCATCAAACTGCTTTAGTCATGTTTTGGAAGTTTGTTTTGTGTTACCGGTTACAAATAATCCCCTAATATGAATAAGTGAATACTTCCGTGTTTAGCTGAATGGCACCGCAGCAGGACGGCTGGCTGGTCGCATGCGACTTTGCTCATTTCAGACATCATGACATTAAAAAGCAGATGTGATTCACTGTCATTTGTTATAGAGTGGTTATTTTTCAACTGAAATGCCCCCTTACATGGTATTTGTGCAACTTCTTTAGGAAGAAATGGAGTGAATTGTCATATAAAGAGGTAACTCTACCGCAAATGAACAAATATTAATTAATAAGAAGTGGTTTAATTACTTAATTATTATAGAAATATGCAGTATTATGAAGAAGACCTGACAGAAAAGATGTAATATGTTTTCCTCAAAGTTTTAATGTAATTACACTTATAATGTAATCATATTTCTTTAAGAGCCAAATTTAATGCATCATTGTCAGAGTTGTTGAGAATAATATGCTTCTCATGGATACATCAGTACATTGTTTTCCCTGCCAGGTGCTATTTTAACCCTCAGAACCCCAAGTAAAGCAGGTTCTAGGCGTTCTCTGCTTCTGTCACTTTGTATTACTGCAGTATTCTGCACTTCTATGAAAACAACCCAAACGTGTCTTTTGTGCCTTAAGTAGTAATCGGATTTGTTTGATTGATTAGTTTAGGAAAAGTGGAAATCAACATGTACAACGTTAAAAACAAAAAGAGACATGTAGAAATGTGAAAGTCTGATGATTCTTTGTGCTTTCACAGCTCTGATTA